GAGTTCCAGCCAGTTTATGTTGTTTTTCAAATCCTCCTGGGACCACCGACCCTGAGCCCAATGCGACTGGAGATGCGCTCCCCAGCCAAATAGGCTGGTGTCCGTGGTGAGGGTGATTCTGACTGGTTCTCTGAATTTTGTGCCCCATGACAGTGCTGGGGAGGCCCACCATCGAAGGGAGTTCAAGGCCAGCCGCAGAACTTGGACCTTCTGGTTGGAAGAGCTGATGCATAGCCTCTGAAATGGAAGAAGAAGCCACTGCAATTCCCGGGCATGAAGGCGTACCCATGAAACAATCTGTATGCAGGATATCACCTTCCCCAGGAGCTGTGATAACAAGGCTAATGTGACCACCCTGTCTCTTCGGATCCGATGCACGAGGGCCTGAATGGAATCCTGCCGGTCCTGTGATAGATAGACCCTACAATTGTTCGTGTCTATGATTGCCCCAAGATGTAGGAGCTGGGTTGGGGGCATGGTATGTCTTTTCTGGAAATTGACAGAAAACCCATGCTCCTGAAATGTTTTGATAGCAAGGGCGAGGTCTGATCGGGCACTCTGGAAGGAGGAGGACTGTATTAATATATCGTCCAGATAACACTGAACTCTGATTGGAGATTGTCTCAGGTGGCCGGCCAGGACTGCCAGTACCTTTGTGAACACTCTAGGTGCTGAAGAGAGGCCAAATGGTAAGGCCCTGTACTGGTAGTGCCAGTGGGCATAACTAAACCTGAGGAATTTGTGATGTCCAGGGAGAATAGGGATATGCAAATATGCCTCAGTCAGGTCTATAGATGTAAGGAAGTCCCCTTTTCTGATGTTGGCCAAGATCGACTGTAGTGACTGCATCTTGAACTTCCTATACATCAGATAGTAATTTAGACCTTTTAAGTCTAAGATTGCCCTCCAGCCCCCCAAAGACTTGGGAACGACGAAAAGATTTGAGTAGAACCCTCGTCTTTCCTGGTCCGTGGTACTGGCTCTATGGCCTGTATCTGTAAAAGGTGAGCTATGGCCTCTGACATGAGGGCTGCTCTAGTCTTGTTTGTGGGAATAGGGTAAGACCGGAACCAATCCGGTGGACTGGACCAAAACTCCAGCATCAGACCCTGAGTAATGGTGTTTAAGACCCATGAGTCCGTTGTAGTGGCTGCCCATGTGTCAGAATAAAGGGACAGCTGGCCTCCTATAGGAGGGGAGTCTGTGGGATCACTTGCCTCGTTTGAAGGCGCGTCCTCCTGCGCCTTGAAAGGGCCGCTTGGCCTGGACCTGTGGTCGATTTCTGTATGTGGAATGGTCTTGCTGGCGCTCTGGTCTCTGGAAGGAGGTGCGAGAGGCCTGGGCCCAGTCCCAGGTGGAAACTGGCCGAAAGAGCTGCCTACAGTAGTTGCTTTGTGATGACCCGGCCCCCGAGCGCTTATATCCTTTTTTGTTGTGTTAATGAGAGTCTTTCGCTTGTCCTTGCCCTCTATTAGGTAAGGATCGAGGGCCATTCCAAAAAGATGTCCCCCTGTATAAGGCTTAGTAGTGAGGCGCCACTTGGCCTTGGTGTTTGCTCGCCAGTTCTTAAGCCACAGAAGTCTGCGTGCTAAGATGTCCACCGCAATGGCTCATGCAGTGTATCTGGCTGCGTGTAGGGAGGCATCAGCCATATATTGGGATGTGGCCACCAACTTACCCAGGTTTTGGTGAACTCGGATCTGGTCAGGGGGAATCATGTCCTGGAGTTCATGCAGCCACAGTACTGAAGCCCTAGCGAAGAAGGCCATGGATGTGGAGGCCTTGGTCGCCCAGGCCGATGCCTGATGGGATCTGCGTAAGGCAGCCTCAATTTTTTTTTTGTCCTCTGCCTTAAGTGCCTCATTTATGTCCCCTGGAATGCTAGAGTTGGAAAACAGAGAATTCAGAGGCTCGTCAATTTGAGGAACTTCCAATAAAGAGGCGAAGGAGGGAGCCACATTGAACAAGGTTTTCTCTGAAGATCCCGAATTGGGGACAGAACCCAGGTTATCCCATTGCTTCTGCACTGTGTTGTGGAAGAATGGGGGGCAAGGGATATGTCTCTGTGGAACCACCAGTTCAGCATACAGGGGATTAGGACCCTTTGATGTAGATGGAACTGGGGTCTCCTGTTCCGGAGTGATGTTGGCTGTTGTGCAGGCCTTGAGTAATAAAGAGTTGAAGAAGGAATGGTCAAAAAGACCAATGGGTGGAGCTGGGTTTGATGGAGAGGTACCCTCGTCATCTGACAGGATCAGGTCTGAAGGGTCGAAGTCTACAAATTCTGAGTCCGAGGAGACATCCTCTGTGGGGCTTCGTGATTCAGGGCGAGGAAGGGACTGAGGGAGTGCTGAGGGAGGTTGGGGGGTATGCTGGAAGGCAGAGGAAGCCATAACTGAGCAACGGCCTGAGCTATCATGGCCTGAAACTGCTCAGGTCCTAATGATTGTGACTCGGGGGCGGGGGGCGGAGGCCTGCTGCAGTAGGCGTAAAAGTAGCCTGAGGCCCAGATGGGGCGGTGCCCTGACCAGTTATCCCCTGTGTCCCTGGAATTAGCCCTGACATGCCAGGTTCAGCCTGGGCCATTTCCCTGGGGGGAGACCAGGTCCCTGGGGCTAAGGTACAATGGGTGGAAAGGGACTCAAATATGGACCTCCCCAGGTGCAGAAATGGCCTGGGTTAACTAAGGTATGATGCTGACTAGTGGTCTTCTGCTGACTGATCTGGATCGTTTGGAAGGCTGTGTTTTGGCCTTCAATATGGTCTTCACCGCTGCCTCAGTAGAAGTTTTGTGTTTCTTTTTGGCGGGGGGCTCAATATTGTCCTGTAAGGACGTGGAAAGCGAGTTGTCTGCCATATTGTCTGGAAATTTCCACTTGGAAACCTGCCTTCTCAATGATTAGCTGAGGCAACAGGTTTCTAAGGGCTCTATTCAGTGAAAAGTGCCCCCCTCAGCGCTGTAGTCCACTGAAGCAGCCCAATTAGAATATGGTTAAAACCCAGATGGGGCGGTTGGGGGTCAACACCAGGCAGTGCGTCCTTGTGGGGACGAGCTTGCCCTCCCCAAGTCCAGGAGATGTTCAGTACCAGGAGACAAGATGGTGGATGTCACAAAATGGCGGCCGCGACTAAAAGCGCGCCAAAAATAACTGATGAGAGGCCTCTGAGAAGGTAAAGCAATCTGGCTGAGGCCTGTGTGGCCTGGAGGCCGCGCGGCTGCAATCGAGCCCTGTTCCAAGGGAAAGCTTTGGGCCCCTGTAGCAAGCCGGAGGTTGTTCCTGACCTGATAGAAGTTGCCGCTCGGCTAAGAGCCCTCGCGCTGATCAGCTGGCTGGCGGTGCACGGAGTGCTCCAAATGCTCCTCCAGTATGGGGACCTCAGGAGAAGCAGCGCCGTTTTGATCAGCAAACTGAAGTCTGTCAGAGCCGCACGCTAGGCCTGCAGCAGCTCGTAAATGCTTTGATGGTTCCCCGCCGATCAGCTGGCTGGCGGTGCCGTGGAATGCCCGAAATCGCTCCTCCAGTCAGATGGTATCAGGGAGAGGCATCACCGGCTCCCAGTGAGCCCGTCACGATCGTGGGGATCGGAGCCTTAAGGGCTACACTCTGGAAAGGGAGCGTTCAAACGCACAATGGTTCGTGCGAAGCCTGTTGGCTGGCTAGAGCAGGCAGCCGCCTGGGGAACCTAATAGTAGGATCTTCCTGGTAAGGAATTCCAGTAATTCAAACTATTAATGAAGGCAATGTCCAGAAAAGGAATAAGGATATACAACCTGTCTTAATTTTCCTGTTCCAAGAGCTAAGAAACGTGTCTGTAGAGCAAGAGACTAAGTCTAAACTGGGGTGCAAATGGCACAGCAGAGGCGTATCTACACTTCAGACTTAGTCTTATTGGAGCAGGAAGATTAAGACAACCCATTTGTGGATTCTCCATCCAATCATGCTGGAGAAGACATCTCTTCCTTCCTTGTACAAATTACAGCATCCAAAGGAAGGCAGGTTGCAGGAAATGAGATGGAAGGATTCTATTGGTTTCTGATATGATGGATGTACATTTTATTGCTTGGGTATAATTGGCAGGCATGTTAGAATAATATGGTAAAGAAATAAGTTGCGTTTATTCAGCTAATGTATTAGGGAAAAAATGAAAATAAAGGGCAACTGGATCTTTCCTCAACAAAATACTTGTCTGCATTGAAAGGAAATATCAGGTACAAATGTAGTGATCTTTTTCAGTGCTGTAAAACAATTTATCCTACAGATGAGTCCGCAACTCTGCTTCTTTATTGCCACTTTTGTATGTACAGAATACCGACAACAGTAACTACCCTTCCTGCTTGCCTCTGGAATGTCTTTGAAATCTGCAACTCGTTACAAGGTAAGGAGATGACCTGGTGAATAGGGGAAGATCTTGCTTCTTCCAAAAAATGTGACCCATTTTAGACCCTAAAGGTGGTGCCTTCTCCATGCTAGATGGCCTTAAGCTAAGGATTAAAGTGTGCCCCACACAAAGAAGTGTTGCCTTTTACAGATCTGTATTTCTTATATGCGTATCAAGGACAGTGGTAACTGTAGGTCAAAAAAATAATTTACCAAAGAAAAATCAATATAACTCAAGTAAAGGAATTATGATGCAGAAGCAAATAGAGAATTAATGAAAATATCTTCTTGAGTCACCATTCAATATTTCTGGATTATTCCTTTTTCTAAGTAATTCCATATATCTAACCTAACTGCAAACAAAATCAATCAATCCATTCCAAACACATAATTGTCTCAAATGTACATCATAGAAATTTCTCACTCTAAGCCTGATCTTCCACTTCTTGTTAGTCTAACTGCTAGTTCTTCAAAAGAAAAGGAACTAACTGTTTATGGCCAAATGGCTTAAAATATTCTTTCTTCTGCCAAGAGATTACATATAAAATTTTCTAAATTCACCAACTGGAAGTAATTGCATTGCCTAAACTCTCTATGAGAATATAACATTACATTCCTTACCTGTCCATGGAGAGCTGTGCCACCAGGGTCACATCATTGTTATCTGTAGCAAACTCATATTCGTAGTGTAGGAAATATAGGTGAGTCCGATGGACGGTGAAACGCTCTCGCCGAAACTCATAACATAAGTCATCTTCATCCAACTCAGATAGTTGTTTTTGTAGCTAATACACAAAAGCACAAAAATCAGCACAAAACTATAAACAAGAGAATATTAATTAGAATTTTTTACTGAAGAACAAATATAAAATCATATCTTATATGATATCATGTATATGACTGCCCGCCGCCCAAACCATAAAGTCAGTTTACAAGCCCTAAATGAAGAGCTACTTCGCACTTGTGGAGGATTAATAGAGGTTCATGATTTCTGTTTTTACCCTCCCTAAATAGCTGCCTGCCTCTTTTTGGCAATGTGGTAACCAGGCAATTTGGATAAGCCCAGGATGACAATTTGGATAAGCCCAGGCTCAAACCTTCCTGCAGCTGTTTAATTAAGTGCCTCAGACACCAGATGCCTGGGGCCACTGATGGTAATTCCTGACAGCTCATCCTAAATTTTGTGGACAAATTAAGCTACATGTTGTGGTCCACCCTACAGTCCTAAATGAATGTTCTACCTCTCGGTGTAAGTATTACAGCATACAGATTTTCTTTGTAGACAGTAGGGCCACTGCGTTCTTTGGCTCAGACACTTGAATGTCTTCTGTAATTCTGTGTGTGAGTCACCCTTGGCAGTTTACTACCAATCTTGCTGACTGCAAAAAATCGCCTCCATTTGCATGCCATATTTTAAGAGATTCAACTGAAGCCAACCTATGGCCATTTCATTTAAATTTGAGAGAGCAAAGCTCTACTATGATCTCTATGGCAGGGGTCCCCAATCACCGGTCCGTGGACCAGTACCGGTCCACGGCGTGCCAGCAACTGGTCCGCACAAACAAGCAAAGCCCCATCCATGGGATGTAGACAGCACACAAAACCACACACTTTCTGGTCTGTGAAAAAACCTTTCTCCACAGAACCGGTCCCTGATGCACAAAGGTTTGGGGACCTCTGCTCTATGGCATGAAGTAAGAAGGAAAGCTGGCTGTAGCAATGAACAGAAAATATAGAAGAGGGACAGATAGGTATGTTCTCTTAGGCCTCCTCCTCTAAATTCACACAGAAATAGGTATGTCACCAAGTAAAATCGTGGAACAAACATTTGCCTGCAGTTGTGAAACTATTTTGCAGACATCATTATTCATTTATCTAAACTACAAATTGCAGGGTGTGTGGTAAAGAAATCATAGCGCCTCTAAGCATTATTAAAGCAAGAAAAACGTTGATCAAATTCTTTAATGTGCTAAGAAGGATAGTATAAAATGGTTTCCTTCCTACATTTTTTTTTTAAATGAAACTACCTATTTTAGAATTGCTGGACTTTGTGGGCAGAGAAAGATGGTACATGATGCGAATATCTGCAGGGACAGTGCATTGCTGTGATGGAAAAATATTCTTCTTCACAGCAGCATCCAGGAGGAAAGTCCCGCAGGGCTCCTTGCTAAGAGCAGCATTTTATATTTCCTCAGACATTGAGAGGTGTGAAAATAAAAGGGCAAGTATGCCACAAGAATTTAGAAAGCTATTGCATTCCAGGTTGGGCTTCTATCCATGCAAGATCTCAGAAAGCATTTTTTTACCTCCTTCCCAACTTTTCAAATAGAATGGAACCTGGCATTTCCCTCACACCACATCTGATGGGGCACCAGTGAAACGGGAACTAAAATTGCTTCTGACTCAAGTAACTCTGGTCAGGGATTTTAACCCTTATCTCTGCTTGTTTACCTTCAATTATTTGCCACACTAGCTAGGGATAATGGGAATTATGATCAGACACCTTCTAGGAACCAAATGCTGAGAATTAATGTGTTAAGATATGAAATATACACTCACACATACACCTATGTACATATTCACATGACACCAAATCAATTTCCTATTTTGCAGTAGTATCCTAAGCATTCTTTTAGCAGTTCCATCTAATTTTGTTCTCTATTTCAAAGAGCTTTAATCTGATTATCTATAGACACTTCTTTTCATCCAAATCTATGAACAGCTTGACTGCAACAATATATCACCTTTCTTAATAGCCCTGGCTTTCAGGGTCGTATCAAGTATGGACAGTTTTTAATATCATCACTTGGTTGGCACTAAGAACCCTCTCCTGCATTATTTTAATGCTTCATAACAGCCATGTAAAATAGAACAGAGGCCAAACTACACCACATATAAGTTACTGCAATTTCTTTTTCTGTTATCCACTGCCAAATCTAGAATTTTCTATACCACCTCCACTACTAACCCACAAGCAAATTTCTGTAAGTTTCACATGATAAGGTTCTGATCTAAACCACAGTCTAAGTAAAAAAAACAAAAAAACCATCAATAAATCCCCATTACTTTTTAAAATACATGTTCCATAATATACATATGAAGTCAAATGTTAGTGTTATTTTGTAAATTAGAATTTATTAAATTGGTCTTTGAGAATTGCTTTTGGCTTAGCAAGTACCCTCCTTTCTAAATCTATCAAAATAACTTCTGATGAGATAAATCAAAGTTTCCTTTGATGACAATGGATATTTTTGAATGAAAATGCGTCTTCCACTTTCTAACACAATTAGATTTGATGTTTTATGTTTTCTAACTGCTGAGTAAAACTATCATTTTAATTACAGTTTTTTTTCATTTTTAAACAGATTTCAAGTATTTAGATAGTGGTTAATGAGTTCCTTAAAATTAATGAATAAAACCACTACCTATCAGTAACAGATGGCACATTTATGAATATTTTTGTTTTTACAATAATTCTAACCCCTGTGTTTTTAAAATTAATTCTGAATAGCCAATTCCGTTTTAGGCTGTCTTTGCTTAATGACTCATGTTTCGTGTCTGAAGTTACAACAGCACTGAAAAAGTATCTTTACAACAGGTCCTTGCACTTAGGACCTTTGGAGTGTTCCCTTGGTCATGTGATCAACATTTGGGTGCTTTACAACTAGTTGGTGTACAAGACTGTTGTAGTATCCCATGATCACGTAGCTGCCATTTGCATGCTTTACAGTCAGCTTCTGACAAGCAGAGTGGAGAAGTTGATAAAATCACTGTCATGTGATATCTCATTTTTTGACAGAGTTGCCTGTCTCAACTATGGTTAGTAACTGAGTAACTTGTACTTTTCTTCTTTCTCATTGTCTGCTTCAGTCATCTTCTTAGCTTCCACTCACAAGGAATGACTTATTAAGAGGTACATAAAGGTTATAAATAGCTTCAAAACTCTCATAACAGTTGCAGTCTTTAAGCCCAAACACTAATTTTGGATTGTTTTCTCACTCTTGTTTTGCTCATCACTGCAACTGCAAACTCATCATCTTAAATGATCACAATCTAATTCATTTTCTCTAAAGCACAGATAATGTCAGCATTTTAAATAAACTCACAAATTGCTACATGAAATATCTTAATTTTCTTTCCATTTCTTTTCTTGGAAAGATATTTAACATCTCTTATCAATCCAAGTCATCATGCTAATTAGGCATGGTTAAAACAACTGTAACTAGTTGTAACTGTATCACTCTTTTTAAGATACCACAATATCTTCTTTCCAATTTCCTGGATACCCAGGCTATATGTTTATACTTGCAAAACCACAATTATCTGGGTACTGTAGTCACAAAATGATTTTTAGATTACTTCAAACTCTTAAACAGATATAATAACTTAATCGTGTATTATGGAACTATGTTGTGAAATTATTTCCCTACTGTAGAAAAATGGTGCAAAATACCTGCCCACTCTATATTTATTCCTTACTATATTAAGTGCAACTTAAGAAAAGTACCAGAAAGCAGCTATATTGTATGTGTGCGTGCATTTTTCCCTCTTTCCCTCTCTATCTCTGAATATGATCACTGTATGATCCTACACATGTAACAATGCCGTCTTCCAGATAGTGGCTCAAAAATGCTTCTTTGTCACTAAAATACTGTATTAATACCTGAACTCAATTATATGCATAAGTATTTTTTTCATTAAAATATATTAATTGTAGAATATATGTACTTAAGCACACTCATGTTGTTATAAATGAAATCTAGATAAGAGAAGGGCAAAAAACCATTAAAGAAAGGAATGTTATTTTTTTAATTACAGCCTTATGTTATTTCTTTCCTTCATAAATGAAACTGTGGGGCAAGCTCTTTTTATATGTACTTTGACTGAGAGTTGGCAGAATTGCCAGAAACTACATAATGTGGTCTTGTGACCACATCTGGCCACCATTCTGCTGATGGGTTCTCTCATTCAGTTAAAAACAAACAGAATATTCCATCTGATCACAGACAACAGCAAAAATAATCTTGCTTGCTTAATAGTAATAACCCAAATAAATGCTTGCAACTAGGGCTACTATCCTAAGATAATCCTATCCCTATCGTATCCTATCCAATATATCCTATATCCTATTCTTTCCTAAACTAGAAATGGCTAATTTGTGGTATTTACTGTATGTCCTGAGACACATTGTAAATATAATGCTAAAGTATAATGTATGCACCCTGGAAATTAGATGAAGTTATGTAAATCAGAAATCTTTATTCCTGTTGCTCAGTTTCCATGTTGCTTTGCTTTTACTGGCCAGTTTATTTATGACAGGTTTATTTTCTGTTGGCAACTTGCTCAAGTTACTTGGAAAAGCTTCTGCAGTTTGAAAGCTGCCCACAGGACCTTATTCTCTTGCACCTCTGAAAAAGCCTATCTCTGCCTTGAAGAGATTTGTGAATTGATTACTTTTATCTCAATGCTTTAGTTTTCTTCTAGTAAGTTCAGGATCTTGAGCATTAGGCTACGAGATTGTTAGGATCCAGGTCACTATACTACAGAGAATTTAAAGTCTTTCTATTAAATTGTAAGAACCACCAGATTAAATAGAAACACCTTTTCTATTTTCTGAGAAATTTCTTCACACTTTCTAAAGACCACAAATGTTTCATTCATTTTCTTTTTGCTACATTTGGGTAGTAAATCTACTTTTGATTAAGTGTAATAGTTGAAATGTTGGACTTTTTTGCAATCAATCCTTCTGAATAGTTTAAAGAAATCCCAGGCTGTTTCTTCTAAA